GCCCGGCGTGCCGAGGCCGCGGCGCGCCCCCGCCCGCGTCGGCGGCGTCGCGGCGGCGGCGCCGCCCACGCCGGCGGCCGGCAGCTGCAGCTGCGCTGCAGGGCCAGCTGGCAGCATCCTCGTGTCCCAGATCCTCACAACGCCGTCCATGTCGCTGCCCGCCGCCAGCGAGGCGCCCCCGGGCAGGAACGCCAGCGCGGTCACGCTGCGCCGCAGCTGCGTGCGCGCCGCCGCCACGCCGCCGCCGCCCCTCGCGCCGCCCGCGGCGACGTCGACGCGCGCCGCAGGGTCGAGCGTGTTGCGCTGGCGGCGGGCGCTCCAGCGGGTGGGGGCGCGCAGGTCCCAGAGCATGACGGCGCCGTCCCTCGCGCCTGCGCGGCGAAGAGGGGCGAATTTGCAGTTGCGCGACCCTCCGTCGTGCCGATCAACATGAGTACAGCAGCGCCCATGCGGCACGCAAGACTGCGGCTGCATTTGAACCACAGCGCCGCAGGCCCCTGGCGCACCCCCGGCGTGGTGCGCGCGCGCGCTCGCGCACCAGAGGCGAGGACGTCGGGCTGGGCCGCGTGCGTCGCAACGGCCTTGACGCTGCCAGCGTGGCCCTTGCAGTGGCAGCGCAGCGCCGCGGTGTGGGTGTCCCAGACCCCCACCAAGTGGTCGCCCGCGGCTGTGTACAGCAGGGTGTCGTTCTGCAAGCCCAGGTGGGTCGGACAGCCGTTACATATCATGGATGGGCCCGGGATCGTTGGCGTGTACGTGTGCACGCATGCACGCATGCATGCGTGCATGAACGCATGCATGCGTGCATGATTGCTTGCTGCTGTGCGTGCATGCATGCACCACGCTCGCCTGTCGCGATGCGATGCTGCGTCTCCCTGATGGGAGCCCTGATGCAGTCGCTTACACATGGCGCCCCGGCCCCCACCTTGGCCCATGCGATGTCGTAAATGGTGTTCTGGTGCGCCAACCACTTGGCCTTGGGCTCGCACGACGCATCCATGTGAAGCGAGGACGGCAGCCGCTCGGCCGCTGTGTCGACAACGCAGATCCAGCCCTCCTCATCTGCCACTGCCAGCAGCTTGCTGCCATGCAGCACCTGTGAAAGGGGGGGCGAGGAGCGGGTTGCCTCTGTGGTGCACCATGACAGCGCCGGGTGGGTGGCGTGTGCAGCGTGTTGCAGCAGCGACGCGCTTGGCGCCTAAGGCAGTGAGACAAGTCTCATCATGCCGCACACGATAGCTGTATATGCAGCATAGGCGCTGCTGCGGATAGAGCTGTTCGTTCGTGGTGCTGGTGCGGTTGGACGGCGCACCTTGCTGAAGGCAAGCGCGAAAGGCGGGCATGGCTGCGAAGCGGGGTCAACTGCGATCACGCCGGCGCCGGCGCCATGGACGGACAGGCCCTGATACAGGCCCAGCGATGCACCGCAGAAGCCTGAGCGAAGGTATGCGGGTGACGGTGTGATGAGCTGCTCAGCTGCAAGCGTAGCACAAGCAGCACGACGCAGAGCAATGCGCAAAGTGCGCGGCCAGTGCAGAGCGTTCAGAGCTCTGATGCGTTCAGATACCATTTCATAACACATCTCATTCTTATAACACGACAGCAGCGCTTGTCGAACCTCTTGCTGAGCCCCTTCCACTCTCTCGATCCATCAGTGACCGCAACATTGCTGCCCTTGATCTTCAGTAGTGTTTCATACGCTTATAATCAACAACCGAATTGAATTTATGCCAGCAGCAGCCCTCCAGAGGTCGACGCGCGGTTTTGCGTTTGAAATGCGGCCACTGTTCAAACAGGATTGTGCAGCTGACGGAGCGTAACACCGTCCAGACATCGACACGAGCCCCGATTACGATGGAGGATAAATGTTGTCAGCGTGCAACACGAGCTGGAAGACGGGCACAACGTGCATCACGGCAGTGCTGCAGGCACTGCAATGTGCAGGCCAGCCGAGTGATGACCGTGCAGGGAATGCCGTTGAGTCAAGTAGTGTGGTGAAGTTGTGTCAGGTATGCCAACCCAGCAGGTGAACTCGCATGGCTCACACGAAGCAGCTGGACCTTGCGTTCAGAAAGTGCACCTCTGAAAGCACCGCTGATGGGACCCGTCACCCCTTCACTTGAGTCCTCACACACAGCAGCCTCGAGGCGCATGTCAGCATCACAGAATGCAGCCCTTTCATGTGGCACATGACCTGAGAAAGCATACATTACAACGCTGGCGCATGATCGCATGTTTTGCCGGCCGCTTTTTGCAGCGGTAAGCATCGTTGCAGCAGTCACACAGCCGGCAATCATTAGTGAGCAAGCGAGTGAGCGGCTGAGTCGCACAATGGTACGAGGGCAACACATCCGCTTACAATGGAGCAACTACTGCCACGCCGCCTTGACTTCTCGGCTGACCTGGCAGATCCTGTGCAGCCAGCCGCTGCTGTTCAACGCCAGCTGACGCAGTCGGAGGCCGTGGCAGATGGGAGCACCCATCCACATGTGCGATCGGCTTAGCCACAGGCTGCAAACGCGGCTTTTGCCCGTCTATTGCCGATGCTGCTGCTGCTACTGCTACACTCGCTGCCAATGGCGCTGCTGCAGCTGCTGCTGCCGCAGGCGCCGCCGCGAATGCGCCCTCTAGGGGCCAAGAAGCAGCTGCTGCAGCAGGCGCCGCGGCCACGACCTGCTGCGCCCCGAGCTCCTCAAGCGCTGTCTCTGCTGCTTGTCTGTGAGCGCTTGACAGC